CACCCCCATCCCACCCTCCCCGTCCCACCCCCTGCCCGGGGATCACATCTTTTCTCCTGAGCTGCCCAGGCTCCAGCTTCCTATATTATTTGGGAAAATATCTTCCTGACACAGCCACTTTCACCTGTCAATTCCTTGTGCAACTTTAAAGAACAAAACCAACCAAATTGGAAGGAGAGGAAGACTGATAAATGTTTTCTTTTTAGATTATGCATTCACCACAACTTACAAAGTGAAACACGCTCGCTGCCACCTGTTAGTCAAGTTCACTGATTTCTCCTACTGCCCCATTTCAAAACCCGTCATCTTGTTTCTAACGCTTGCCGCCTTACTTCTAATACCCGCTGCCACATTTCTAATGCCTGCCCCTGTCCCTGTGGTTCTGGGCACTCTCACCAGGGGGGACACACACAGAGCTGCTCCAGCTGCTCCAGGGACCTCTCAGGGCCCCTGGCCCAAGCTGCCGCCGCCTTAGCTGGAATTCCTGGGCTTCGTTTGTCTCCAGCGGGCAGAAGCACGACTCTAGGGAAAACAGGTGAAACTCAGGGAGGGGTGGGGAACCTTTTTTCTGCCAAAGGCCATTTGGATATATATAACATCATTCACGGCCATACAAAATTATCAACTTAAAAATTAGCTATAGCCCAGCCGGGCGTGGCTCAGCGGTTGAGCATCGACCTAGATTCAGGAGATCGCGGTTCAATTCCCGGTCAGGGCACATGCCCGGGTTGCGGGCTCGATCCCCAGGCGGGGGCGTGCGGGAGACAGCTATCAATGACTCTCTCTTTACTAATGTTTCTGTCTCTCTCTCTCCTTCCCTCTCTCTGAAATCAATAAAGATACATTTTTTAAAAATCAGCTATAAAAAGGGTCCTAGATTTACTGAATTTCGAGTCCCGCCTGCAGGTGCCTTGGCAGGGCCAGACCAAATGATTTCACGGGCCCTATACAACCAGGACGCTCCCCACCACTGCATCAGGCCAAGGGGCTGTCCCACACCTGAGGGTGCAGGGGGCATGGCATGGGTCACTTAGCCATTGTGGACTTGAGTGCCAACTGCGTACCTGCACTTATTGGGTACCAACTGTATACATACACTTAAAAAAAGAATCTTTATTGATTTCAGGGGGAGGGAGAGAAAGAAACATCAATGATGAGAGCCATTGATCAGCTGTCTCCTGCACGCCCCCGACTGGGGATCGAGCCCACAACCTGGGCATGTGCCCTGACTGAGAATCGAACCTGGACCTCCTGGATCATAAGTCTATGCTCAACCACTGAGCCACACAGGCTGGGCTACATGCACTTTCTAAGAGACAACTGTGTGCCAGGCCCTGAGGACACGGCAAGAAAAGGCCAGAGCCTGTCCTCTTGGAACCTCGAGGATCATCTACTTCGCGGTCCCTGGTTTGAGTCCCAGCAAGGCCACCCCTTGAAATGTGACTTTGGCCTAAGGCTTCTCACCCCCCCCAGCCTTTGTTTCCTCACCTGTAAAGTGGGACTAATCCAATACAGAACTACAGGGCAAGCCAACAGGTATACAAAGAATGCAGCACTGGCCTGGCACACAGTAGGCGTTCGAGTAATGATAATTTGCCGCAGCTGTTGCTGTTACTGTTCTTATTCTCACCAAAGCCAGAAGCATCCTGATTTGCACAGTCACCCTAGGGCAAGACCATATTTATATATTGGTTTACATTTTGCTGTTGAAAAATATTAGCTCTAATATTATTAGTAAAAATATTATTCTTTCATTATTAATATTTTATTTTAAAATACTGTTTTACTAAATACAACATGAAACTCTGGAATGGATCTCAGTGCAAAAGAAGACATTCTTAGAAAAATGAGTAACATTCAATAACCTCTGGAGTTTGGTCATAGTGGTGTACCCCGTGCAGCTCAGTCAGGGATGTAAGACTTTAACAGGAGGCTGGACAAAGATTCCATGGGAGCACTTTGTATTTCTTTGTAATTTTTCTGAAAATCTAAGATTATTCCAAATTTAAATACTTATTTAAAAGAACTGTTTTAGGAAACAAAATTTATTTTATATTTCCTAAAAAATTATTTTAGTTGGCAAAATCTGTCTGTGGTGTTGGAGGTCAGGACAGCCCTGTCCCAGCCTGCCCCATACTCCCTGTGTGATCCTGAGAGGTTCCTGACATCCTGAGCCTCAGTTTCCTCACCTACAAAGGGGTCTGAGAGGGTCTACTGCAGAGTGTGCTTAGCGGGCTAGAAATAAAACATAAAAGGAGGTCCCTCCCCATCAGAGTCCCATGTCATCTGCTGCTGATTGATCCAAACCTAGTCACCTGATAGGGAAACTGAGGCTTGGAGGGGCACAACATTTGGAGGGAAGATGGGGCTGAAGCTGAGGCAACGCCCCACCCTCGAGATGATCCCAGTCTGAGGGAGGAGGAGACTGGTCACAATTCAGAGGCTGGGGGGTCTCTGTCTCCCTCAAACTTGGGGCCCCTTGGGGACTGGGTCCTGGCTGTGTCTTGCAGGTGTAGGCTTATGTGGCTGGGGCAGCGGGGCTACAGAGCAGGGAACAGACAGCAACTGAAGAATGAATGAAGGCCCAAAGAAGACATACAGATGGCCACCAGGTACAGAAAAACATGCTCAACGTCGCTAATCATCAGGGAAATGCAAATCAAAACCACGCTGAGTACCGCCTCACACCTGTAAAATGGGTATCACCAAAAAGACAAGAGGTAACAAACGCTGGCGAGAATGTGGGAACCCTTGTGCTCTGTTAATGGGATTATAAATTGATGCTGCCTCTATGGAAAGTAGTATGGAAGTTCATCAAAGAATTAAAACTAGAACTACTATATGATCCAGCAATTCCACTTCTGGGTATTTATCCGAAGGAAACAAAAACACTAACTCGAAAAGATATATGCACCTCTATGTTCACTGCAGCATTATTTACAAGAGCCAAGACATGAAGACAACTGAGGTGTCTATCAATGGATGAATGGATAAGGAAAATGTGGTATATATATAAGATGGAATATTATTCAGCCATTAAAAATAAGGAAAGATTGCCGTTTGTGACAACAGGGATGAAACTTGAGGGCATTGTGCTAAGTGAGAAAAGTTAAACAGAGAAAGACAAATACCATATGATCTCACTTATATGTGGAACCTAAAAGCACAAAAAACCAGAAAACCAAATTTGTGGATACAGAGAACAGATAAGTGGTTGCCAGAGGCAGGGAGGCAGGGGTTGGGGGTAGGCAAAATGGTTGAAGGTGGTCAAAAGATACAAACTTCCAGTTACAAGGTAGTCATGGAGATGTGATGTGCAGCACGGTGACTACAGCTCACAATACTGTGTTGCAGATTTGGAAGTTGCTAAGAGAGTAGACCTTAAAAGTTCTCATCGAGAAAAAGAAAACCTGTGACTACGTGTGGTGTCAGAAGTTAACTAGATTTATTGTGGTGATCATTTTGCAATATGTACAAATATTGAATCATTACGTTATGCACCTGAAACTAATGTAATGTCATATGTCAATTATATCTCAATTTTTAAAATTCTCACCCGAGGATATGTTTTTCATTGATTCTATAGCAAGAGGAAGGGAGAGGCTCAGGAGAGAGAGAGAAACATCTGTATGAGAGAGAAACATCGATCTGTTGCCTCATGTGCCTCGAACAAGGATTGAACCTGCAACCTGGGTATGTGGCCTGACGGGGAATCAAACCTGGGGCCCTTCAGTGTACAGGACAACACTTTAACCACTGGGCTACACTGGCCAAGGCATGTCTAAATTTTTTAAAAAGAAGGAAGGGAGGGAAAGAAGAAGGAATGGGTAGAAGGGCAGCTTCCTGGAGGAGGTGGCCCTTGAGCTGGATTCTGAGGGTGAGCTGTGTTCCATGTGCTCATATGGAGAGGGAGGCCAAGCACGTGGAGGAAACTTAATGTGCAAAGGCAAGAAAGCTGGGAATCCAAGGCATGGGTAGAGAATGATGGCCATTCAGGAGGGTGCCCGAGGAAGCACAGGGCAAGTGAGGGCCCCTAGGGCTGGCTGAGGACAATGCTGCCCTCCTGAGGGGATTAGGGAGCCATGGAGGGTGTATGAACAAGGGAGGTCACAATCAGAGCTGCATGTCAGAGAGACCTTAGAGGCTAGACATGGGGCAAGAGTGGAGGCCAAGTGGGAGGGGAAATAGATATAAAGATGGTGACACTGCCCCGGTGGCCTGTGCCCACTCCTGACCTGGGAAACAAACTCACCAACTTCCATGGACGGTCAGGTGTCCGGTGCCGAAACTGCACCTCAGCGCTCTCCTGGCGGGCTGGGGTCTCCCACTCCATGCACAGCTGCCCTGCTAACCGTGACACTTTGATGTCTTCTGGCGGAGGGTCGTATTTAACTGGATGCAAAGGTGGAGGTTGGGGAGGGGAAGCCGACATTTGTGTGAGCTGTTGGTCCCCAAAATTCCAGAAAATCTGCCCACACCTCGCCCAGCCCAGGGTAACCAACCAAGTCTTCCAAACATGAATCAGGGACACCCTTGAAGTTCCTGCCTAAGCCTAGAATTCTATAGGTCAAAGAGTCAAGTTTTATACACAGGATCCTGTTAGTGAAGAGATCTTTAAAATAGTAACACCCATTGCTGACAAGGTTGTGCTGAGATAGGCACTCTTGCCAACTGCTGACAAGACGGTAATTAATTCTGTTTTCTAAATGACTATTAGGGAAATCTTACTAATCTTTTTAGACCCACTTCAAGGAGCCTGAGACATCTATCATCTTGTCATACCCAATTCTACCTCAGTCCTTTGCACTTGCTGTGGTACACATTTCTCCACGGGGAACACACTTCCCCACCTTTCTTTCTGCTGGATTCAATATCCTTCAGGGCTCAGCTTGAGCTGGAGGCATCACCTTGACCTCCCAGCAGTATCTCAACATGTGAATTGATCACGCCTCATCCATCACCCCCACTTGAATCTGGGCTCCATGAAGGCAGAGGCAGGGTCAGGATTAGGGTGAGGCAAGTGAGGCAAGGTTGTACAAATACAGGGTTGGATCCTGTCTTTATCTAACATTTTGATATTTTGTACATCATGGGTTTTTTTACATTAATTTTTATTTTTTTAAATATTGCATTGCAGTGTTGTTTTTATTAACCACTGAGGGTTCTTTTGGCATCCCCTTAAAATGTTGTACCCAAGGCGGTACCTCGCTGGCTTCATTCTAGTCCCAGTCCAAGGCTGTGACTTCAGTTGGCCCTGCCTATGGCCCCTATGGCTCAGTGTGGTGCGCAGCAGCAGCTCGATGACTGTATGCCAAATGCATGTTGTTGATTCATAAAAACAGTTAAAAAACCCAGCAGGGTCCTGGCACCATTACAGTGTCAGGGAGAAACCAAAAGCAACCTGAGTGTCCAGTAGTAGGGGATAGGTAAGGGAACCATGGAAGACTCTGCCAAGTCACACAACAGTCTTTGATGTGTAAATAGCTGGAATTTTCAAGCCTCTTGCTAGGGGCCCAGAATCCCCCCAGGTCTAGGCTTGGGGGACAGAGGCATCTCTGTGTGAGAAAGGGCAACCAGAAGAGGAGGGCAACGGGGTGCTGACCAGAGCTGTATAGATTCAGGGTAACCTTGGGCGACTTCTCTGTCCAGTTGGCGGCCCAGGATTCCACCCAGAGAGTGACATTGTCCAGCACAGATACACCATCCTGTTCAGAGAACTGCAGCTTGGTGGCTGTGCCTGCAGAGAAGTAGCAGCAGTGCCTGGACCCGAGGCTGCAGGAAGGAGGGTGTTGATGCTGAATCTAGTGGACCCCAGAAACATCTCAGCCATGGCAGACAGTGTGCACCACATCCCCACATCCTTCTCTGCCCCTTTGACTTCCCCTCCCCAGCCTGGGGGTGCACTGGAGATCAGCCTGGGATTGAGGGGCTTGTGGGACCCCAGATCTCCCACCATGAGCTTTCACAACGAGAAGGGAAGAATGAATTGATGGATGAACAAACAAATGAGTGAGAGGGTGAGGGTGAGAGAAGGGCTAGAGGGACCCTGATTGCTGCCCAGCTTGGAATTCCCACCCAAGCCCACCCCTCAAAACACAGGGTCCCCACCCTCTGCTCACATGAGAAATTGAGTCCCAGGAAGAGGCAAGGACCAGCCCTGGGCTGCGATCACACATCGAAGGGCGGGGGAACTGGGTCAGGAGCTATGGCAGGATGTGGGTGAGGGAGGGTTGGGGTCAGGGAAAGGGTCCTCACCAGCACCTCAGGAAATGGCTGACTCCAGCTGCGGGGCCCTCATACTCCCAGGAGCATTCATAACGGGCACCAAATATCCGGTAGCAGTTCAGGTCTCTGGGACCTGAAGCTGAGCCTGGAGGGAATCCTGGAGGTGTGAGAACAGACCAGAGTAGGGGAGGGGTCTCTGTGCTGACATACCCTCGAGATGAATCTTTGTGACATTTCTGTAATCTGGTGTCTCCACAGTCTGAACAGCTCCTAGCACCCTCCTGTGCCCTTCACTCCTGGCTCCTGCCAGCCCCCCTGCTCCCCCTGCTCCAGCCACATCAGCCTCCTCATGGGCCCTCAAACACCAGGCTCACTCCCACCTCAGAGCTTTTGCACATACTGTGCCCTTCCCCCAGATCTTGACATTCTAGTTTTTCCTTCATGTCACCCCCCACTCCCCCCCCCATCACCAGCCAACCGGAAGCAGCCCCCTCCGTCTCCATCCCTCATCCTGCTCTGTGCATGTCACTGTAGGGGGTATATGCATTTATTGATGTTGTCTACCTCCCACATGAGGCTATGACCCCAGGAGGACATTTGGGCTTGTAGCTAATTCCTTCATGTCTAGGGCTGTGTGTGCACATAGTAAGTGCTCAGTAAACATTTCTTGAACAAAAGAATGGATGACCCACTTGCTCAGTGGCAGAACCTTAGTGGGGTGCATTGCAAACTTAAATATTCCAGCAATGCCTGCGGGGGGGGG